TACACATTTTCTCTCTTAGTTTGACTTTTTGAAGTTTTAGACATTAATTTTAGTTGAAAATTTAACATTGTATGTAAATGACAATTAAATTTTTTTTTAATCAAATGAAACTATTTAATAAGAATTATATATATGAACAAAAAAATTTTCAACTGTCATTTATAAATTTGATAAAATTTTTGTTTGAAGTTAATATCTAAAAAGTCAAATTAAAATTGCCATAATTGAATGGAGTGAGTAATTTAGCTATCATCCCAAAATAGGAACATAAAATCGAATCATATATAGATTTTATATATTTTTTTCCATTTAAAGATGCGTTTCTATGGTATAAAATGGAGAAATTGTTATACCGAATTCGCAATTCACAGCAAGAGAGAAAGAGCAGATTTGTTCTTCAGGGAAGAAATGGTTATCTCAAAATTCGTAACACTTACTCATCAAGCCTCATTCACGGGGAATTGGGGATATTATTCTTAGTTTTGCTTTTCACATCTAGTACAATATTCTATCTAAAGCTCCATTTTGATTTCATTAATACAAGTTAATGGTATTTTTAAGTGTTTTATGTGAAACGGTTCGCGTCAATATTAAAGACACAAAAATGTAATTGATTAATCGAATCTAACTGCCCTGCAAGAATGATACCAATCAATTGCATATTTGCATCCATAACATTGACACGAACCGTTTCCCTTAAAAAAATAATAACAATAAAATACCATTAACCTGTGTTTATAAAATCAAAATAGAGAAACTGTACCTGAAGTGAAAAGCAAAACTAGGAATAACATTCCCAAGAAGGAGGGTTGATGAGTAAGTGCTGCAACCTTTGCGGTAGCCATTTCCTCTCTGAACAACTGTTGGGAAAACAGAAAAGAAGAATAATTTGAACAAAGGTTTATTGCTTTTCTTGAATCATTTTGTATGTACAATGACCTATATATAGGTGTTTACAAAGAGAATATTCTAAGGTATAAAGTATATAAATAGAATATTCTAAAGTATAAAATATATAAAGAGAATATTCTAAAGTATAAAATATTCACAATAATTCTAAACATAATTGTGTTCACATCTTATCATCCCCCTTCAAACTCAAGGTGGTTGTGATGAAACCAACTTGAGTTTGGAAAGAAGAGTACGAAAGCATCCAGGAAAATGAGCCTTGGTAAAGAGGTCTGCCAATTGATCAGCGGAGCCAATGAAAACCAAATGAACAATTCCTTGTGCAACATGATGGCGAATAAAGTGACAATCAACCTCAATGTGTTTAGTGTGTTCATGAAAGACATCATTATGAGTAATCTGCATAGCACTTTGATTATCACAATATAAATCAGTAGAAGAAGGTTGAGGAATGCCCATATCTTCAAGAAGCCACCGCAATGACAAAAGTTCTGATGTGGTATCCCCGAGAGCTCTATACTCAGCTTCAGTACTAGAGCGAGATGGAATAGTTTGTTTCTTACTCCTCCAAGAGATAAGAGAATTACCAAGGAAAAGACAATAACCAGTGGTAGATCTACGATCAAAAGGATCACCAGCCCAATTAGCATCAGAGTAAGCGCGAAGCACAGGGGAGGAGTTGGTAGAAAATGGAGTCCATGAAATAATGTTCCCTTAACATAGTGAATAATACGAAGTACTGCTACATAATGAGTGGAGCGAGGAGCAGTCATAAACTGACTAACAATATGAACTGCATATGCTATATCAGGGCGTATCGTAGTAAGATAAACCAGACTACCAACCAATTGCCGATAGCGAGTAGGATCAGAAAGTGGAAAGCCATCCATAGGTGTAAGCTTGACATTAGGTTCAAGAGGTGTAGAAACACTTTTACCATCATTGAGTTCAACTTTAGAAACAAGATCGGAGGCATACTTTACTTGAGAAAGCATGTAGCCATCATGTGAAAAGGTCACTTCAAGCCCCAAAAAATAGCTTAGAACACCAAGATCTTTCATCTCAAATTTCTGACTAAGAGATTGTTTTAACTCCTCAACACATGTGACATCATCTCCAGTAATAATCATGTCATCAACATAAAGAAGTAAAAGGACCATACCCCAAGCAGTCTTACGAATGAACAACGCTGTATCATGAGGACTAGAAGTAAAACCAAACTCACTTATAGTAGCACTAAACTTTCCATACCAGGTTCGAGGGGATTGCTTCAATCCATATAATGCACGACGCAATCGGCATACCTTGTTTGGAGGATGGTTGAGCCTAGGAGATGGTTTCATATAAACTTCTTCTTCTATGTCACCATTAAGAAAAGCATTTTTCACATCCATATAAAACAATTTCCATCTCCTCATAGCAGCAATAGCAAGCAAACTACACATAGATGTAAGACAAGCAACTGGAGCAAATGTCTCCTCATAGTCGATTCCATACTCCTATGTAAAACCCTTGGTAACCAAGCGTGCCTTATAACGCTCCACAGAACCATTAGATCATGTTTTGATCTCGTACACCCATTTACAGCCTATTAGAGATTTTTCAGTAGGGAGATCAACTAAATCCCATGTACAAGTGTTCTTAAGAGCTTGTAATTCATCTTGCATAGTTTGTTGCCAAAGAGGGTTAGAAAAGGCATCTTGATAGGATTGAGGCTCATGTAACGAAGTAATAGCAGGAAAACAATGATAATCACAAAGGTAGTTGGGAGGGTTTCTTACCTGAGTAAGATGACTCAAGGATGGGACAACAAGCTCATTTGTAGAATCAACAGGTGATACAGACGAGGAAGTAGAAGAAGGCTCAAAATTATCTAATGCATTACCAGCAGGCAGATCATCTTCTACAAAACTAGTTGGAGCATGCGGTGAGGCATTGTAGAGCTCTTTAGATGTACCTACATTAGAATCACTAGGAAATAGCTCAATAGAAAGATTAGTAAAAAAATGGAGGTTGATGAAAGGATGACACTTTGAAGTTTGACAATGATGAGAACATAGTGTGTTCCCAAAAGACAACATGGTGTGAAACTAGGAGTTTTTGTGACACAGGATCCCAACAACGATATCCTTTTTGTGTAATTCCATAACCCAAAAAATAGCATAATCGAGCTCTAGGTTCTAACTTGTTATATTCATGAGGTGGAAGAAGAACAAAACATGCAAAACCAAAAACCTTAAGAAGATTATAAGCAGGAAGAATACCATGTAGACGCTCGTATGGAGACTAGTTATTAAGGACCGATGATGGAATGCGATTAATAAGAGAAACAGCTGTAAGAGTATCTTCACCCCAAAATCGCTCTGGACAAGAAGATGAAATGAGCAAAGCACAAACAGAATCAAGAATGTGTCTGCATTTGCGTTCGGCTCACTCATTTTGTTCAGAAGTATAAGGACAAGACTATTGTGGCAGTGTAGCCTGTTCTTTTAAAAAGGATTGAAGTTTAGTACCAAGATATTCAGTAGCATTGTCAATTCTCAAAACTTTGATAATTTTAGAGAACTGAGTTTTGACCATGGTAGCAAAATCAATATAAATTTGTGATAATTCAGAGCGACTTTTCATAAGGTATATTCAAGTAAAACGAGTATGATCATCAATAAATAACATAAAGTACCTGGAACCCCCCATGGTGGGTATAGGAGATAGACCCCAAACATCAAAATGCACAAGATCAAAAGGAGCAGTAGAATGAGAATGACTACTTGAAAAAGATAAAGCTGGTTGCTTTGCAGATTGACATGACACACAATGCATAGATTCATTCGGAACTGATCCTAATAAACCACAAGAGATAAATGGACAAAGTTTACCAACTGAGGTATGTCCAAGTCGTGAGTGCCACAAATGGAGAGAAGAAATGTTAGTAGCAGCACAGGCTTGGAAGATTTGTTGATATGGAATTTGCAAAGACTCTAATTCAACAGCACAAAGTAGGGTTTGGATGAATCGATCAATTGGAAATGATGGTGTATCCATTTTGTTATTAGGAATATGCAGATAGTTGAGCTCAAACAAACGCCCCACCTTGCGACTAGTTCCAAGAAGTTGTCCTCTCCGTTGGTCCTGCACACGACAACCATAAGCATAAAATGTTACTTCAAGACCAAGATCACATAATTGACCGACAGATAGAAGATTATAACTAAGTTTTGGAACTAAAACGGCATTTGGTAAAGTCAATCACTTTGTAGAAACATTGCCAATGTGACTAACATTCATAGGGGAACCATCGGCAAAATAAATATCAGGAAATGAATTATTAGGTGACATTGAAGAGAAATGAGCAGTAATTGAAGACATATGGTTACAACAACCAGAATCGAAATACCAAGGTTTGGTACCCGAAGCAGTAGATAAGGCAGTAGGAGCATTAAAAAGATTTAATACCACCTGTTTTAAGGATTCAAGGTTGACATTAGGTTGTTCTATCACTTCTTTGGCAACCATAGCAGTAGCAGGATAAGTTACAATCCTTTCAAAACTCGTCATGAGTTACAATCCTTTCAAAACTCGTCATATAAACTCACAATACTGAAAAACTCTAAAAATTTGAAGAAATAGATGCAAAGATCAAAATAACAAACCAACAAAATACCTCAGAAAGGGCCTGAGAATCAAGGATAAACAATCCAATCTGTAAGAGAAGAGATCCTAACAACAAAGTTTCAGATCTGGAATGGAATTGAAAATCCAACCCCGAAAAAAACCCAACAGCGATGATAAGAGAGGAGAACTTGGAGCTTATAGCTCTGATACCATCTTAGAAAAACAAAAAGGAAGAATAATTTGAAGAAAGGTTTATTGCTTTTTTTGAATCATTCTGTATATACAATGACCTATATATAGGTGTTTACAAAAAAAATATTTTAAGGTATAAAATATATAAAGAGAATATTCTAAAGTATAAAATATTTACAATAATTCTAAACATA